ATATATATATGTACCACTTCGGGGAAACTAATCAAAAAGTATATATATATATATGTACCACTTCGGGGAAACTAATCAAAAAGTATATATATATATATGTACCACTTCGGGGAAACTAATCAAAAAGTATATATATAATATATATATGTACCACTTCGGGGACAAACGGGACGGGGGCCGGGCCGGGGCCAAGGCCGGGGCCGGCACACTTATCACCGTCCCCGGCCCGAAATTGATTGGAGATTGATTTTTTAATACCATTCCCGTCCCGTCGGGGATATTTTTCGGGAAAAAACCATTCAAATCGGGGTCGGGGGATCGGGTACCCGTCGGGTCGGTTTCAAATTGTCATCCCTACAAATATCACAAAATGTTGTAAAGGGGAGAACAAGAGGAGAAAGAACAATTCTTTATCCTTTGGATTTCTTGGTGAAGTATCTCCAAATTGGCTATCTAATTTACTTTTAGTTTATGTTAGTGTCAGTATTATGAAGAAATACTTGGGAACTATTAATTTTCTCAATTTTTCCAGGTCAAGATGGAGAAGGTGAAATCATTACTGAAAGTGCTTCATTTGTGCATGGAGAACTTCCTCATGATGGTAATGGGCCCCCAAAAGTTGATTCTGAAGTGGAAGTCCTTCATGAGAAAGTCACTAAGCAAATTATCAAGGAAGGCCATGGTCAGAGGCCATCCAAATATTCAACATGCTTTTGTAAGTCCATCTTGCAACTAACTCTTGTACTTATAAGGTCTTTCTTTGCACTTTGTACACGCCTAGAAAACCAAAGAACCTTAAATTTATGATTGAACCCCATCTAGTACTAAAATGGCATTGCATTGTAGGTCTTGGTTTTAATCTTTTATTTTTTTGGTTCTTTTTGGTTTCTGATAACAACCATCAAGCATTGAATGTGGGAATGTTTCTTTCACCACCTTACACAATTATCCTTTGAGATTCCAAACATAATAATCCTGATGTACAAAGGTTAGGCTTGGACAAGACCAAGAAAACCAATTAAAGGGTCCCATTTAATTGCAAGATTTTCAATGAATTTTATGGCACTAAGAAAAATGGTACTAAGATTTTGGTCAGACTCTTTAATGATGATAATGTGCTACAATACTCTGTGAACAAAATAAATTTGGTAAATTAGTTTTAAAAAATTAATGAATTGAAATCAAATCTATGGCTTCCATCATTGATCCATAATTTAAATTCTCTTCTTGCAATGATAATTCTTGTGATAATAACCAAAGTTTTACAAGACTTTATTAAGGCTCGCATCTTGGCGAGGCTAATGCAAAACGCATCGAGACTTTGATTTTTTAAGCAATACTCCCCAAAGGCTTGTGCATCACAGTCTGAGGCATGCTCCTTGTATGCCTTTTGCACATTTGAGGAGTACATATGATGAGCTTGTCTTAGGCTCTTGTTAAACGTAGTCTAATAACAGATGGTTTAAACATAAAATAGTATAAAAAATAAATATTTTGCAGCTATATCCTATAGAAAAAATTAAGTAAATGATGAATCAAGAAAAAACACAAAATTAATGCTCAAGTGAGAAGTTCTATCACTAAACTAAGAATGTCAATTTTACTTTCAATGAAGGCAAGCTTCCTTCTCTATAGTAAAATGTTCAACCCCTTGAGATGAAAATTATTTACACATTTAAATTAATTTTTATTTAAATTTTTACTATTTTAAAATATTTAATTTATTTACTAAATATAAAAATTCAAAATTCGAAATGCTTATTTCTCGACACCTTAAGGCTTATGTCTCACCTCATGAGGGGTAAAACACCTCATGTTATGCATTCACCTTCAAAAAATTTGTGCCTCCCCAACAAAATTTGTTTGGTTGCTTACTAGCCTTTTAACATCTTGTTTTGCAGTTTATGAGAATTATTTAGGATTTATATATTTGTTTATTATGTTTCAAGAAAAGCTTAACGGTGGTGGTTAATGTTTCGTTTCTCATTCTTTTTATTTATTTATTTATTTATTGGTGTTTGTTTGTCAAGGACCAGTTAGGTTTTTAGTTTACCTCTACAAATTTTGTCCAAGTCCTAAGTATTTCGGTTAGCTACTTAAAATCAATTTTTCCATTCCTTTTTGTAGTTATAGTTTTCACTAGATCAGTTGGTGACACATCTATTATCGGTCTCAAGTTCACCCCATGTTTGTTTTGGTTTTCCCTGTTTTTTGAATGTTATTGACTTAAATTGCAGTCACTTTGTGTGGATGCATGGTTTTTTTTTTTTTTTTTGGTCCAAGAAAAGAAATGAAAATGAATAATGTAAGTATTATGTCATAAAGAAGAAAAAATACTTCATGTAAGAGTAGCAATAATGAAAACAAGATGTACACAAAAATTTCTGTACAGAACACCGGTAATTGCAAACCATGTAACTGTGTCCGGCAAGATGTGCTTTTAATTAACCCATTCAGTCCCACTTGTATAGAATGCTATGAGATAAAAGTCCCATTTTGTACTTTTAATAATATTTACACTTGATCTAAATAGTAAGTATATCATTAGATTTATTGTAGACATAAATATTTCTTTCTTTCTTTTTTTGTTTTGTGTGTGTGTATGTGGAGATATGTATGGTATATATGCATTAGCTGGTTACATTTATGGTATGCATACCATAGAAGTTTCCGTCTTTTGTGGAGGTTTGTAGATAAATGGTTACATTTCCTGTTTTTGTGTGGAGATTTGTATGGATAAAAAATGTGAAGTTTCACACTTATTGCGTCACAGTTTTAAGTGTGAACATTCACATTTACAATGAGTAAAATAGTATGCATTTTCACATTTTCACATTTACGACCTTTACTCTTTCAAAAAATTCACATTATTTTATTCATTATAAATGTGAATATTCACTTTTGTAATAATTCACACTATTATAAATATGTATCTACATATAGATTAATAATCCAAATGAGTAAGTACCTTGGCTATCATGTTTTGGTACTACATTATGTCATATAATGCTAGATGATTGGTTGATATTCAAATTTATGTTAGGACAACCACCCCTTTGCTTGAATAGTGTGAAATGGTGCACTATGCATTGAAGTCAGGTGTAAACAAATCTCTCAACACAAAACCAAAAGTCTGACAGCCATGAATGGGTATAGATTATGGCAACTTATTTGAGTGAAGTATAGAGGGAGGGGAAACGTGTGCATATATATGTGTGGGTGTTTTAGTCATTTGTTAGCATGTTAGGTATCGAACTTTTAAGATTAAAAGAATATAAATAGGATTAAATGATGTACAAGTTCCATATATAAGACTTCAAGTTAAAAACCCCTAAAAAAATGGGGAGCATGAATTTTGCATTTTGCATTAGACTACTTTGGATGTAAGATTTGGAAAGCTCTTCCTTTAGCAGTGTGTTGGTCAGTATGGAAGCACAGAAATGAGGTTATTTTCAATAAGGTGCAACCCAATTTAGGAGTGGTCTGTGAGCTTATTAAGGTTAGAGTAGCCATGTAGTTGAAGTCATCTTTGGTGGGTAGAGATTACTCAATTAACCAGTTCCTTTCAAACCTGCAACAGATCAGGCTGTGTATCAAGTGATTGGGCCCCTGTGGTTTTGGTTCTGTTAATTACCTTGGGTCTGCCGTAGGTTGATTGTTACCTTTGGATTGTGTGGCTGAGATTCTGCTATCACCAGCACCAGTGGATTCAGCTGTAGTGTATCAGAATAGGTTCAGTGGACTCAGTTTCTGCTGATTTTCTGCAAAGTCGTGGAGTTAAAGCTGATTCAGTTTTTTGTAGGTTTGGTTAGTCTCTCTCAGATTCATCCCTCCAGGTTCAGAGGTGTGCTTTCCGTGGCTTCTAGGTGGAGGTGGCATTTGAGTCTGTTGGATGTAAACGTCAAGGGGAGTCTCTCACATGCATCCATCCAGGTTCAATATTTCTTTGGAGGAGTCTTTTAGTAGCCCAACTGGATGCTGCAGTGGAAGTGTGTAATATACATCAAGTAGAAGCTGCTGCTGTGTGTGTCCTGTTTTTATGTGTCTGTTTGATGGTGGATCAGATCTGACTGCTCTGTTGCTTTGTTGCCTTGTTTCAAATATAGTTCTATGGAGGAGTCTTTAGTAGCCCAACTGGATGCTGTACTTCCACCAGATAGAAGATCTCAGACAGTTAATGTTCCTATTGGCAATGAAGTCCTGGGTTTGTTTCAGGTAGAACAAAAGATCTGTTGGTTGCATAAGGAGTTCTCTATATAGTGTTGCTAATAGTGAGAGGTGGTATGCACTGTGTTATGACCTTTGTGTCTGCTCGGCTAAGTGGTGTAATGCTGAACTGATATGGTGGATGCTGAACTGATTTGGTGTTAAGCTGGTCTTGGATGTTTGCAGTGTCCTCTTTGTTTGTTTGCAGTGATCTCTTGGTCGCTACTCGTTGGTCTCTCACCAACTCTTGGGGTGCTAGCAAATGATAGGATGAGTTAGATGGTGCCAACCTTGTTGGAATGATTTAGCCCATTGTAATGCCTTTGCACCTCCCTTTTTCTTTATTGATGTAATTCGCTTTGTACTATGTACTTGTTTTATTCCATCAATAAAGTTCTTTTTTTTGCCGATCAAAAAAAAAAAAAAAGAAAAGCATTTAAGTGTAAAGAAAACCTGTAGGTAAGTTTTCACCTTTCTGCTTTTATTTTTTTTAGTTTAATCTTTTGATGCAAGACACCATATATTTTTAATATTATCATCTTACTTACTAAAAAAAAAAAGAAGACTCCATATAATTTTTTAATTAAATTTTATACTATTATCAACTTTTAGGTACCCACAGGAAGCTGTGGGCAGAAAGTTTTTATCATGAGTTTAGTATTGATAATGAAATCCATAATTGAGATTTGGAACAATGTTAATTAATTCATGCAATTTCATGGTGCAAATTAAGTTTGCATCAAACAAATTTTAAACATGAATTTCATGGTGCAATGCAAGTTAAACTGCATTAAACAAGTTAAGTTGCAATTTCATGGTCCATGAATGTACCAGTAAACCCTAGAGAGGGAGCTTTCATTGACGAAAAGGTTGCAGTCCCCCTTCCTTTTCCCTCCCAAAAAGTGCATATGTATATTCATGACTGCATGCATGCATGAACCATTTTTTTGTATATTCATTTTAATGTTTTCACTTTCTTTCTTTCTTTCTTTCTTGATTCCCTCTTTCTTGAATACTGTTTTCCCCCGTTTCAGCAACTCATGACTTTACAGCAAACTCTTTTGTCTCAGCTTGGTCGGCAACCATCAACCCAGTAAGTAATTTTCCTCCTAAATTTGTTTGGTACCTTGTCCATTACACATGCATTATTCATATAGCAGTATATATTTTTTGGCACAATCAATGCGGCCGTGTTACTGCCCAGTGCTCGATATTTGAATATTGTCTTTTATGAATTAATACATCTGCACAATACCTATATAGAATTTTGTTGTTTAGATTTTAATGCCCATTCTTTTCTTGGTTTACTTAACCGAAATTGCACTCTTGCAGGGAAGCATGTCAAACCGGTGGGGGAACAGGTGCTTGTCTCTGGAAGAATTTACTCTTTGGCTTCACTTGTGATACCTCCAATAGACTTAATGCTATTGTTTTGCTGTATATTTTAAATGTTGTACAGTGGAGCTCATCATTTATGATAGCACTCTGTCTTGCCACATCTATATCAAGTTTTAACCTAGAAAGCACGGATACAGATACGAGATACGGATACGATACGATACGGATACGGCGATACAGCAAAACCTAAAAAAATAGGATACGGATACGGCTAGGATACGTTTGTAAAAAATAAAAAATAAATAAATTATTAGCAATGAGTTACACATAAGCTCAAGAATGTTGAGAAATCACAATAACTTTATAATGCAAAATATTAATCTTTAAGAATTAGGTATTAATTTAAGTTAATAGCTAGTTTAGTTTTTAAATTTTCAATAGGTCTTGCAAATATTTCATTTCAATATCAAGTCTAATATGTTGATATTATAATATCAAAACAATCCATAACTTGACCCTATGTTTTTTCCTTTTGCACTAGTCAAAAATATTCTATGCAAGTTTATTTTTTTATTTACTTATTGATATTTAATTTTACTATTGTTATATTATCTTATTAATCCTTACTTCTATGTAGTTGTAGGGGACACGCATGATATAATGAAGATATGCCAATTTGATGAATTCTATTATTTGAGCTTACTATGTTATTTTTATTAAAAAAAAATTAAGCAAAGTATTGTAAAAATATTCTATTTATTCTCGCAATTATATTATATCATGATGTTATGCAAGAAATAATACAATTCTAATTTCGCAAAAGGAGTAATATGTGACTTGGAGGATTTGATACTTCAAAATTAATTAAGAAGTATCCGATAATATGTGAGTCGGAGTATCCGATACTTCAAAACTAAGTATCCGATACTTCAAAATTAACGAAAAATTAATTGAGAAGTATCCGATACTTTTAAGAAGTATCTGATACGTATCCGTAAGTATCCGAGGAATATCGGTATCCGATACGGATATGATACGGATACGTCTTCCTATTTGAAGTATCCGTGCTTCATAGGTTTTAACGTTCTTGGTTGCAATCAATGAGAGGGAACTTGTCAATGGTTAGTTTTACAATAGGGAACTCCAAAAGAGTCTTGATGACTGTTGGTGTGGTAATCTTTTGATGTTACCCCCTGACCCATAAAAATTACTTTCCCAGATAAAGAAAAGGAAAGGAAAATAAAATAAAATAAAATAAACAAGCCTAAGGAAGAAGACATTATATGAAAAAAATTCTTTCATTTTTTAAAAATTGTTGTATGTTATTTTATCTCACTGTGGGTGTGCAACTTTTCTCCCAATAGCAGGAACACTTGACAACATGGGATTGGAGATGTTGATGAATATGTTTGGGGGTCTTGGGATTGGAAGCCCTGCCGTTCCTGTCAGATCAGATGGTGACTATTATTTCCTTTTCCCCTATGCCCTACTGATTTATGCTTTGTCATCTACTCACAGTTTATGCCTTGTTTTTTCAGTGCCCCCGGAAGAACTATATGCCACTCAGCTCTCACAGCTACAAGAAATGGGCTTCTTTGATACCCGAGAGAATATACAGGCACTGATAGCCACTGCAGGGAATGTTCATGCTGCAATGGAGCGGCTTTTGGGGAACCCCGGTCAGTAGATTGTGATTATTGTTATTATTCTATTCAACATGACATATATCATCAATCGTGGACCGTTGTAATCGGTTTTGGACACTCCGGAGGCATTTTCAAATCTTATTTTAGCTATGAATAAGTACATATTATGATAGAACTGTGAACTTCTTGACATTAGGGTATTGGTGTGGGAATACTCTTTTTCCTATCCCCCACCCCCTTCTATATATATGAAAAGAAAAAAGACCGAGATTGCAATACTTGAGTACTATGTACATACACTTTTTATGACCTGTGTCTCATAAATTGTTTAGTTATTACATCATTTTCCCAATTCCTTTTTGGGTATTATACTCTTTTCTTTACTCTCCACTGGATGGAGAAAATTCTGCAATTATATTTCAGCCCAATATGTATTATTTTAGCTTTGCTACAATTCATTCTCCAGATGCTCAGGTTTTTCTTGTGGAATTGGTGCTCCTCCTCAGTAATGGTTTTATTTATAGTTTTTTTTTGGACTTGTGTGATCTGGTGTATGTGTGTGTATATATATATATATATCCAGTTCAACTTTGAACTTGAGACAACTTAAGGAGTCCATGGGCTATCATAACTTCTGTTTTAATGATTCGAATTGTTCATTTTGTAACGCTCTCAGGCCATGTTTGTTTAGATGGACTAGATTAGATTGAATTAGCATTCAGTTATGCTAGTTCCCTTTATAACATGTGAGCATGACTGAAGCTACAGCCCTATCTGTTCTGACTTTAGCTGCTCTGGCTGCGGCTGGTACTGCAGCCTTGCTGTGTTGACCTGGCCTGGTCTTGCTGCAGCTGGGGTTGCAGTGGCTAGCTCTGGCTTATGCTCTATTTTGATATAATGTGTACCTGTCACATTTACATGTAGTGAGATTTGTTATTATACTTAATATAATAATTACTGAGAAATATAAAGTCATCAACTATTATAAGTTTTCATCCACAAGTAATTCCAAACTACATATTCCTTCAATTAAAAATCCTCTTGTAATCTATATAATCATCCAATTCACATCCATCTAGCATTAAAATTTAAAACATATTCCTTAAGTGAAGAGTAAAACTCCTTTCGCAAAGCATCAATAGTTTTCATTGATTGAGCAGAAATAAAATTCTTCCAATAGTATTCATATCTAGCTACGTCTCTTTCAGCTTCTTTCCAGGCCTCATAAGCCCAGACAAGAGCGAGGTTATCACTGCAATCACGTGAAAATTGTGCTTTTGCTGCTTCTGCTAGCGGCAAAGAGAAAGAAAGAGACGTAACTGGATATGAATATTGTTGGAAGAATTTTCTTTTTGCTCAATCAATGAAAGCTATTGATGCTCTGTGAAGGGAGTTCTACTCTTCCCTTAAGGAATATGTTTAAAATTTTAATGCTAAAGTGGATGTGAATTGGATGATTATATGGATTACAAGTGGATTTTTAATTGAACGAATATGTAGTTTGGAATTACTTGTGGATGAAAATTTATAATAGTTGTTGACTTTAATTAAACAGGTTCAGAGTTTGATGATTTATATAGTTTGTTGAATGTTCATGATTCAGTTGAATTGTTGGTTTGATTGATTATTGTAAATTATAGATTGTATTGAATAGATTGGATAGATTATTATGAATTACAGGTTTATTTCATTGCATGTTGGCGCAAACATTTCTTTTGGCAACCAAACTTTTTGGTCCTAGAATGTCACAATTAGTGACCAAAATTTTTGGTTGTGGAATGTCACAATTGGCGACTAAACTTTTAGTCGTGGAATGTGATAATTGGCGACCAAACCTTTTGGTCGTGGAATGTGACAATTGGCGATCAAATTTTTTGGTCGTGGAATGTGGCAATTGGCGACTAACATGTTTGGTCGGGAATGTCACTTTTCGCGACTAAAGTGTTTTAGCGACTAAATGGATTAGTCGCAGTAATGATATATTTAGCGATAAAAAATTTAGTCGGCAAATTTAACTTTTTCCCGACTAACAAAAGTTTTGGTCGTTAATTACTTTTGCCGATCCTCAATTGGCGACCAAGGTAGCGACCAAAAAAATTGGTCGCGAACAGCCTTTGCCGACTAAAAATTAACTTTTGCTGACCAAATTTTTAGTTGCAAAAAATACAATTTCTTGTAGTGAATATTGCCGACCAATCTTTTTGGTCGTGGAATGTATTGCTGACCAAATTTTTTGGTCGCAGAATGTGACAATTGGCGACCAAATTTGTTGGTTGTGGAAATGGGCGACAATTGTCGACCAAACTATTTGGTCGTTGAATGTGCGAATTGGCGACTAACATGTTTGGTCGGGAAAATATGACTTTTCGCGACTAAAGTGTTTTAGCTACTAAATGGATTAGTCGCAGTAATTATATATTTAGCGACCAAAAATTTAGTCGGCAAATATAACTTTTTCGCGACTAAAAAATTTTTTAGTTGCTAATTACTTTCTGCGACCCTCAATTGGCGACCAAAATGGCGATCAAAAAAATTAGTCGCGGATAACTTTTGCCAACTGAAAATGGACTTTTGCCGACTAAAAATAAAAGTGTGAATTCTTATGTGTTGCTACTGCAAAAGAACTATTTTTTATTTATATATTTATAATTTTTTTGGTAAATAACCCAACAACAACAACGAATCAAGACAACAAGATTGAAAAATCTTATCGTTCACCAAAAAAAAAATAAAATAAAATAAAATTCTTACCAGATAATGAAAAAATAAGGAATCAGAGAGAGAAAACAGACGCAACAAAACACACACACACACACACAAAAATAAAAAAATAAAAATAATACACATTGTACCACAATTCACAAGACAACAAAGAAAAGTTATTGAAAAGCCTCATTACCGGCACAAACAGACACTGTTCGTAACACACACACACACACACAAAAATCAGATTGTACCACAATTCACAAGGCAACAAAGAAAAGTTATCGCAAAGCCTCATTACCGACATAAACACACACTGGTTGTATTCATGTGAGCAGTGGCGGAGTTATAAATTTGTTCAGTGGTGATAGAGACCCCCACACCCCCACATATTTTGTGAGAGAGAGGGTGGTTAGAGAAAAAAATAAAAAATAAAAAATAATAATGAATGGTCACAAATTAATTGAAGGTTATAAGGGTCACAAATTTTGGAGGTTCCAAGTATTATTAAAATTTGTTTCAGAGTGTCACTTAATTACTGGTCATTGATATCATTATTTTATATTTTTAGCTTTACAAAATATATTAAAATAAACTTTTACATAATATACTATCATATAAATGCAATCCAAACTCATTAAATTATATTGATTGAATAGAGAGAGGAAAGGAGAAGAAAAGACAAATTAAACTTTCATTTGAGGAGAAAAAAAATTCCTAAACACTTGGGCTTAGTTTGTTTAGAATGAAATAGGTTGAAAATAAATTGGTAAAAAGTGAGGGAAAGAGAAAAAAATTAATTTTTATGAGTTTGTTTAGCTTGAAAATGGTGAAAAGTAAAAGAAAACTAATTTCCTTATATACCTCATATTATCATTGTAACTAATTTTTAATTTCTTGAAAAAAAAACACAAAAAAACACGAGAAAAATTGAATGCGTGAGTTATCTATAACTAAAATTTTAAAATTTTCTATATTTTCCTAAAAAAAATTTCATGCGAATCAAATGTTTGTAAGAATTATATTTTCTTTTTTATTTCTTTTCTTTCATTTTATTCACTTTCACTTTCACTTTCACTTTCACTTTCACTTTCACTTTCTACTAAAATTTTCTTCTAATGAAATGGAGCCTTAAGAATCTCATGCTTAAAAAGGAGGTTAACTCTTAACTAAGTTATACTTTGAAAAAATAAATAAATGATACATAAAAGTTTTATATAGAACGATATGACTTCTTATTGTTATTTTATTTTCAATCAAAACACTCATCATTGTCTTCATTATTTCAAAAATATCATTAATACATCATTTTGAATTAATTTTTCGAATACACTTTATGTTTGCAAATCATTTTTGATACCATCTTATTTATTTTTTAACAATTTTAATGGCTTCAATTTATAAAACCTTTCAAAAATTTACATAATACTACATAATATTAAAAAAAATGGGATAAACTATCAATATATCCCAATAACTAGACTCAATTCTCATAAAGTCCGATTGAAAATAAGTTTTAGTACAATCGTCACCAAAAATAATATTTTGTGACGATTTTTTACATGTCACTAAAAATTGATAATTAGTGACTTTTTTTTTTGCCACGGTTTTCATAAATTGTTGCTAAAACTTACAATTAATGACGTTTTTTTACAACAAAATTTTCAAATTGTCACTGAAAGTTAAAAATTAGTGATTTTTTTTTTTGTGATAATCTTTTTAAATTGTCACTAAAATTTATAATTAGTGACATTTTTTGTGACAAAATTTTCAACTTATTGCTGATTTTTTTTTTTTGATTAGCAAAAAAGGAACTTTTATAGATGAAAAACCATACAAGAGATAAGATTACGTCGAAAGAAAAGAGGGGAAGAGCAGCATGCATCATAGCAAACTAACCCAATCCCAACTAGGTGGCACTAAAAAGATAGCCATATCATCTGCAAGCTCAACCCCAGGAGTTTGGTGAGGAACCAAACCCAACAAGAAGAAAAATAAACAAGAGAAACAAAAAATACAAACAAAATTATTGCTAAAAATTGACAATTAGTGATACTTTTTAATAGTGTAATATGGAAAATGTTATTAATTATCATAGGACTTATTGGACAATAACTTTACTTAGTAAGACCTATGGGGGATAGTCAAGAAATTTTATTAAAAAAAATAAAACTTTATCAATAAATTCTATTTTCCTTTCAAGATTATTATTGAATCCTGTCAAAGTTCAATATGGATAACTAAGTTGTATTTATTATAAAATGTTTCCAAATGAGTCATTATTTCATAGTGGTGCATCTTTTCTCAATTTTATCCTTCTCATTTAATATGAATAACAAATTTATAAATAATTTTAACTTAATTAAAATTAAAAAATCTTATTTAAAATTATTAATATTATATTAAAAAAATCATAATTAACAATTAAATCAAAACAAGAATGGTTTCTGTTATTTCAAAATATGAATTATTTAGTGTAAACAATTTAAAAGGGTTAAATTCTATTAAAATTTCAAATAGCTATGAAAAATAATACTATGACAAATTCAATAACACTACCAATATATGAGTACAATGAGTAAGAAAGTAGATATTGGCAAGAAGTGTGAGGTTTTTAATTATTTAATTAAAGGTGTAAATAAAAAAATTGTAACAAATTTTATGCAAATAATTGAAAATGATTATGAGAAGGGCAATTGAATATTTGAATATTATTTTGAAGATTTCAATAAAAACCTTCTACATATAAATATAAGCAACAATGTGATATAATAAATTGTTTAAAAAAAATGCTTAAAAATGAAATCTTAGAGTAATAAATTTAATTTATGAATTTTACGGATTAAAAATTATTTTTAGATAGTAATTGAATTTTATAACTCTCATCTCATGCATCATATGAGTCAATACTAATTATAATGTTATTAAGGGGGACAAGAAAGTTGGGGCTAAATTAGTATACTAAAAGATAAAATAGATTAATTTAGCCAATAAAATAAAATATCACATTTAAATCATAATTATTTTACTTTTTCTTTCACAACATTAAATCCAGATAAAAAAGTTAAAAATTTATCCTAAATAAATCTTTTTTAATCAGACTAAATTAAAATAGATTAATTTAGCCAATAAAATAATATGTTTTATTTGTAGTCACTCATTGAAAATCAAAAGACATATCACTTTAAGTCATAACTACAATAATACTATTATCATATTATTTTTATCTTAAATTATGTATGAATATTATTTTTTTGATAAATATGAAAAAAAAAACCTCAATTCCTTCTTAATATAAATAATAAATTTTTCATCATACTTAACATGACTGAACAAATAAATAGTGAGAGAAACAACTATTCTCCCGCCAACCTCTTTTGATAAAAATAAGTCAAAGCAACTTATAAATTGTACAATAAATGCTACGGACTCCTAAGCAACAACTGATGAAATGACCGAATAGCTATTTGGCTTGACACGTTGATTAGTTAGGAGCCATTAGGACTAAACAAAGAATAATACTAGAGACTCTAAATATTCTATTAAAATTTTTATCAAATGTCTCATATGGGTGTAGGACCTACACAATGTAGGTCTTATGTAGGTCCCACACCCATGTGAGATATTTAGTAAAACTTTTGGTAGAATTTTTGAGACCTCTAACATTTTTGCTAAACAAATATATAGTGAGAGAAACATCTATTCTCACGTGCACCACTTTTGATAAAAATTATAAGGCCAAGTTTGGGAAGATCTAAAAAAGTTAAAAAGTCAAAAAGTTACTCAAAAAACTAAAAAGTTAATACTATTCACCAAAAGTCAACAATTACGGCTGCACAACTCCCAATTCAAATTTTTCCCTACAAATCAATTTTTACAATTTTTTATTACACATTTTTCAATAAAAAGTCAAAAAGTTAATCCAAACATCCATATTTTCAACCTCAATTTTTTAGTCCAAAAAGACAAAAAGTGCATTTTTTTAGTCTTCCCAAACTTGGCCTAAAATAAGCCAAACCAACCTATAAATTATATTTAAAAATAAATAAAATAAAGTGAGTTTGGTAAAACAAATAAAAAATAAAAATACTCAACGTTTAATATATTTTTTATTTTTAATACAAAATTAAACTTTTTTAGTATTTATTTTGATTAAAGTAATATCTATTTTTGAGAAATAAAAATAAAAAGAAAAACTCAATTGAATATGATTTGTATTAAAAATAAAAACTCAGTTGAATACGATTTGTAACCATTAGTTTTGATCATAAACCTTGTTAACATTAATCATGTCAAATTAAAATAAATAAAACAAGAGCCACTAGGACTAAACAAATATATAGTGAGAGAAACATCTATTCTCACGTGCACCACTTTTGATAAAAATTATAAAATAAGCCAAACCAACCTATAAATTATATTTAAAAATAAATAAAATAAAGTGAGTTTGGTAAAATAAATAAAAAATAAAAATACTCAACATTTAATATATTTTTTATTTTTAATAGTTTTGATCATAAACCTTGTTAAGGTTAATCATGTCAAATTAAAATAAATAAAACAAAAAAGAAATTTTTTTTTGTCAAGATTAAAATTAAAAAAAATAAATAAATTAAAGACTTCAGTTTGTCAAGATAAATTTCCCAAATCAAAATAAAAAGAGAAGCCTATATAGACCATGCTAAATCAAACTCATTATTGAAAAAATAAAAAAATAAAATTTGTCAATTAGGATACCAAATCACAAAAAGTCTCTGATTTAGCATGGTCGAGATGAGGATAGAGAAAAATTTTAAAAATAAAATATAAAGCCAATTTCATTGAACAAGTGGGTTTTTGAAAAAATTTAAACGTGGCAGAATTGATCTAGCTAGATTAGATTGGAATATTGATTTCACTTATCTAGATAGATTGGTCTTGTAAGGTTCATAATTAAAATTAATAGTATATTTAGTTAAGTTTCAAAATATATATATTTTTATTTTTTTCTTCCAAAAATAGATATGATTTTGATGAAAATAAATTGAGGTAGTAGAAAATACCGTTCAACCCGCATCGATCCGCTAGCTAACTGTAGATTAATTTGATCCGTGGTTTGAAATTTAAAATGCACCTTTGAAATCACTCTGCTTTGCTATAGTGAATGCATTTTTTTACTTGTAATAAAGTATCAAAATAAAAATCAATGTGAGGAAGATTTAAAATGTGAAATTTGTTATAAATTAATGGTTTACAAAAAATATTATGTAAAATTATTTAGTGTTATATATGTGAAAAATATTATACAAATTAGTATTATAGATATTATGCAAATGCTTTATAATTGTTTAAGATTATTCCCCGATCAATTAACAAATTGAAACTGTTTAAACTGTTCAAACTGCAATTTGATTATTTGTCAATCCGTTATTTATGATTTAATTTATTATTTTACTTTTAAATCGTACCAACTGCACCATGTACACTCCAAAAATAAACGTTAAAATTATTTTTAAATTGTAAAAATTATTTTTGTTTTAAAAAATAAAAAATTATATAAAAATAGTAAGTAACTTTTATTTTAATTTATTTAATCAAATTATATATTTTTTAAAATTAACATTTTCAAACTATGAAGGTTGTTTTGGCTTATTTTGTAATTTTTATTTAAAGAGGCTCACATGAGAGTGGTTGTTCTCTCACTATATTTGTCTAGCCTTTATGGTAGGCTCCAGCTGATCAACATCAAATGTTTTTTCGATCGTTTCTTAGGGTTGGTAGCATTATTGTAAGTGTTTTTCACGTTTGGTACAAGGATTCCCATGCAACAAGATATACATGTGATGGTCATTTTTTCGATCGTTTCTTAGGGGCGGTGGCATTATTGTAAGTGTTTTTCACGTTTGGTACAAGGTTTCCCTAACAAGATGTGTTGGGTATACCTCCTTATTGGAGTGTGGGACCCAATTGATTTATTAAAAGAGTTTTAATTTGGCTTGGTTTAGTATAATATATTTTTATATATTATATTTGAGGAGACCCAATTCAATTTGGATACAATTAGGATTTTAATAAAATAAGTCCTAGATTTAACAATATATATATTGTTTATGGTTTTTTGCTCGGTGCGTGAGGAGAAAACAGCAGCCGTTTTTGTGAAACACTTCATTGATCAATTTGTTTTGTGAGATAGTGCATATGGAAAAGTCAATCCAGTGGCTTATTTGATTAAGGTATGAAATCTTCGGTTGGCTTCTTCGGTTTCGGCTTCATAAGTTGGATGATTTAGTTCGTTATTTTGGGTCTTCTTCAACTTTGGTTCAGAAGAGAAATGATTTTTAAAATTTCACCACCGCGACACCCGATTCCCGATACGTACCGATCGATACTACCGATACCGATACTCCGCGATCGATACCGTTACGTTATCCGATACCGCGATTTAGAACCTTGCATGTGATGGTCATTTTTTCGATCGTTTCTTAGGGGCGGTGGCATTATTGTAAGTGTTTTTCGCGTTTGGTACAAGGTTTCCCTAACAAGATGTACATGTGATGGGCACTTGTCAGTGAGTTTCCTTCAGATATATCCACACACTTTCCTGGAAAATAACTTAAAATGAAAAGAATATTCCAAATGTTCTGTGGTGCCTTCCAAATGGGTATTGGACAAAACCATGTAAGGAATTGTTATGACGTCAAAAAATTATGAAATAGAAAAATGATTGACAGCTCGAAGGAGATTTTTAGAAGAGCTCTAAATGGGTGAGATCACTTGTGATGTGACATGTGTATTTGTGTGTTTGCTTGCTTGTTTGTTTTTTTGTTTTTTTTTTCTTGACACATGCGTAGAGCTCTTTTTGGAGTTTAAATATTAGAACTCTCTATCATTATTGTATAGAATAATAGAAAATTTTAAAAAATGACTCCATTTTATATTACTATTATTTATATTTTATTTTGTGGATCATTTCAGACTCATTTAGTATGCCCAAACAATAAAGATAATTGTTGAGCATACTAAATGACAAAATGACAATCTTCTGATCTTTCTGAGCAGATCCGCGATTCTTCTGTTAGTGACTGCTAATTCCATTCCGATGGGTGCGTCTAGAAGAAGCAGAGGTGAAATTCGGAGGGAACTTTTTGGCTTGAAAAGAAAGGCAGTTGCCTTCAGACGCCAAGGGGAGATTGAGGAGGCAGAGGAAGCACTGAAAATGGCGAAAGTATTGGAGGACCAATTGGCAGAGATGGAAGTGCCAAAAAAAGAAATGCGAGCTGAAACCGATAAGCATGTGGAAAATGAGTTCATTAGTAATTTTGTACATCCTGATCATGCAGTCATTGAAGATCTTGGAACCAATGACCACATTGAACATGAAAAAATAGATGAAACAGTTCATAGAAACAATAAGCCACATGTTGATGAATCTGATTCAGTTTTGGCAACTGTTTCTCGCAATGACCAAAGTTCTGTCCGGCAAGAAATCTTGGCTGTCAAAAGGAAGGCTGTTGCTTTAGAGAGAGGGGAAATTGGCAGAAGCTAGGAAGGAACTTCGACAAGCAAAGCTTTTATGCTACGTTTGGTTGGGAGATTTGGGAAGGGATTGGGAAAAGATGTGTGAAACTAGATAAAATGTAAGCATAAGAATGTAATGATTATAGGTTGGATGTGATGTTTTGTTTGTTATGGCTAAAATAGCCTATTTTGTTTTTTGTGGCTAAAATAGCCAAAAAGCCTGAAAACCATCTTGCCAAACAGAGGCAGTATGCCCAACAATAAAGATTAGGCATACTAAATGACAAAATGACAATCTTCTGATCTTTCTGAGCAGATCCACGATTCTTCTGTTAGTGACTGCTAATTCCATTCCGATGGGTGCGTCTAGAAGAAGCAGAGGTGAAATTCGGAGGGAACTTTTTGGCTTGAAAAGAAAGGCAGTTGCCTTCAGACGCCAAGGGGAGATTGAGGAGGCAGAGGAAGCACTGAAAATGGCGAAAGTATTGGAGGACCAATTGGCAGAGATGGAAGTGCCAAAAAAAGAAATGCGAGCTGAAACCGATAAGCATGTGGAAAATGAGTTCATTAGTAATTTTGTACATCCTGATCATGCAGTCATTGAAGATCTTGGAACCAATGACCACATTGAACATGAAAAAATAGATGAAACAGTTCATAGAAACAATAAGCCACATGTTGATGAATCTGATTCAGTTTTGGCAACTGTTTCTCGCAATGACCAAAGTTCTGTCCGGCAAGAAATCTTGGCTGTCAAAAGGAAGGCTGTTGCTTTAGAGAGAGGGGAAATTGGCAGAAGCTAGGAAGGAACTTCGACAAGCAAAGCTTTTATGCTACGTTTGGTTGAGGGATTTGGGAAGGGATTGGGAAAAGATGTGTGAAACTAGATAAAATGTAAGCATATTTTATTCACATTTCACTTAACTTTTTTCTTTTCCTTTTCAAATCTCTTCTCAAATCCCCCAACCAAACACAGCATCAGAATTCTAGTAAAGTTTCAAATTCTACTTCATTTGTCCCTTCTATTGTACAAAAAGAGCACAGCCCGTCAAATTTGACTCTGAAACCACACTCCGGTCGTGATCGTTTCAAGCTGCAACAGGAGTCCCTGGGCCACAAACGGCTTGCACTGAAACTCCGAAGGGAAGGTCGAATTGAAGAATCAGAGGCTGAGTTCCAACTGGCAAAGGCTCTTGAAGCCCAGTTGGATGATTCTGCAAAATCTTCCGTCAGTGGAGCAAAACCAGTTGACGATGTTGGCGTGGAGGATTTTCTCGATCCCCAACTTTTGTTTGCTTTGAAAGACATAGGATTTGAAGATGATAGTACTGTATTGAAAGGCCCTGAGAAACCAGAGCCAATAAAGTCTGTTGCCGATAAGGGTGAAAACTCTAGCCGGGAAAGAATCCGACTGGAGGCAGAGATTAAGGCAGAGAAAGTAAAGGCGATAAACTTGAAACGGGCAGGAAAGCAAGCTGAGGCACTCGATGCTCTTCGGTGTGCCAAAGTTCTTGAAAAGAAGCTAAGTTCTTTAGCTTCATAGAGACACATTTAACATTTCTTTGCAAAATTTGGAATTAGAAGATTATGAAAGTATGGAGAACTTATACTACTTTCCTGAGTTTGTACATTAATGTCAAACCTCTGTAATTATAATTGTTGCACATTTTTCTATACGAATAAAAAAATTTGTGGTTTGTCATTATGATAGTGATCTTCAACTAAACCTCTTTTCTTTTATTTATTTATTTATTTATTTCAGATCTACATTCATTGGAAAATAGAGTGTATAAGAAAGATACAACACCATACCTCTGTTGAACGTATCTGGGTTGTTTACCTAAAATGAGGGTTCAGGAAGAGGCTTATTTCTCATAACCAGGACAGCCTTAATTAAAGGATAAATAGAGAGAGAGAGCTTTGTTTATAATTACTAGCGGTCTTATTGATTTGACTTGTTTATTTAATAATTTCGAGTAATAAAATAATGAAAATGTTGTGATTTTTTAAAGGGGGAATTTTAATGTATTTAAAAAAAAAAATAGAAATAAATGGTAAATTTTATAAACATTAATAATTAAACAAAAAAAGTTTCATAATTTTGTAATATATTTTTCATGGTATCACTGATATCTAATTTCCGCTTTTTTAAATGCATGTTTTTTTTTGTTTTTATTTTTGTTTTTTTTTTGCTTATGTCACGATTATTTGATATTGACAATAATATTGAGAAGTTTTTCAAAGTGGTAAAGTAAATGATTGAAATATTTTAACTTGCGAAAATTACATTTAAGTGGACCATTGGTAAAAAAAAAATTATATTTCATGATGATGTAACTCTCTTGTGTGAATGATGCAAATTTATTTTTGTACTTAGTGTAACTCTTCTCGTATATCAGAGTTGCATAAATAATAATAATAATAATAATAATTCGTATTTGTAATGTAATTATTTTGTGATTGCTCCATATATTTGCAATTTCACCTTTTAATTTTTGTTTGTGAGTTTGATTTATTTTCAATTTATTTTGTTAGTTTATATTAAAATATGATATAGAGAGTGTAAAGTAGTTGAATTTTTTTTTAAAAAATATTTTTATAATAATAAATTTATCATTAAATAAAACAAACTAACCCTTCTTTTTATGAGGTTGAGGTTCAATTCAACTGGATTGCTAATGGGCCAAGATAGAAGACGAGGAATTTGTCCATCGTCATAGCCCAAAACATTCATTCATAACAACTTGAGAAAAAGAGTTCCCAAGATGGTGCATGCCCCAATAAAAGATTTTTAGGCTCTGGGTCACAAATCAGTTTTAGTCCAAAAAAATGACACTTGAGAGACCTCTTGGCCCCAGTGCGAAGAAGTGAGAATAGTTGGTTTTAAGATTGTATTTCAATCATAGATTTATGTAAGGATTTAGAAAGAAAAAGGAAAATGAAAAAAAAAAAAAAAAACTTATATTCATTCATATTTCACTTATATTTTTTCTTTTTCCTTTCCAAAATACAGTAATTCCGACCTAGCACTCATGACCACTAAAATAGAATATTTTTAATTGGCTGTTTTTGTGATAAATTTGGTTGCAATAGAATGTTAAGATATTTTAAACGTGTGACAAACTTTAATCTCAGTGTGACTTAGTCTGTATGTCACACTGAGATTAAAGTTTCGCTATATTATCCACTCAGGTAAGAGTTGCATAAATGTTTGGGTTACATTGAAAAATATTTTTCGCATTTTTTTTTGTAAAAAAGAATCCAAAAACCTTTAAAAGAAAAAAACACACGTTCAAAACAGATTGCTCATATAGAGTGAGTGGTCGGTTGCATATTCGACAATGAGGAGCGATTGATATGGAATCGCTATGGAATGGATTCCTTTAGAAAATAAATTCCTAGAAGGCAATGATCGAGGAAAGATCCATATATGATCAGCCGAGTTTAAAATGGGGCATTTTTTTTTTCTCCTCCAATTGATTTCTTCCTATATGCAATTCATGGTTGTCTCATTTTTCCCAAACCCAACTTGGTTAGTTTCGAAAGTAAATTTTGTATAAACAGACCTCTACGACTCTTTTTTCAATATCTCATACATTGTTTTGTATAGTCAAAATTCTGAAAACTTTAGAATAATTTTGAGTAATAAACTTTGATCTTCTTGAAGAATTTTCTTGAGTTAGTATTTTGAAAAAAGCCTCAAAATCTTGCACATTTTTGTGTTCTACATCCAAGGCTGATTGGGCAATCAGAGCCATTCGAGAATGGAGATTGATGCTTGAAAATTTCGTGGTAACCAGAAGATCAATGAAGCTGACTTGATCAGGTCACGCTCGTGGAGCTTCTATAAATCAACAAAGTTAGGTCAACCTAGGTAAACAGTTGTAAATCTTCTTCTCTGTGTCTTGTATTCTTGAATCGTCTTAGTGGATTTGATTTGGATGTTGGGACTGTGACTTTTTCCTTTTAGGTTTTCCAAAATAATTTTTTTTTTAAAATTTTTATTTTATGTTAATCATGTGATCCCTTGTTGGTGTAGTAATTCGAACAAAGGCTAAAATTAGACAAATAATCAATTTAATCATAATTTTTAATTAATTAGCTCATTCATTCCCTTCTAGACACTTTTTATTCAGACTTCAATATTTCAATCTCATACTTCTTCAAATAATGTGATCATTTATCTTCTTATTAGATAGACACACGATTACATAATGCAAATGTGGTAGCAAAGGTCGGTCAAATCATCTGTTTGCAAGTTCACAAACTGTTTGAATAGAAGTTATGGAAGAAGTAATTCCTTCTTGTAAATAAACCGTTTCAGGACTAAAGGTGGGTGGATAACAAAAAGCATTCTACCCAATAAGATATTTACTTCGGATCCCTCATAGACAAAACAGAAAATATTGGCGATAAATAAAAGTACACCTTGTTCAGATAATTTCTAAAGAGAGATTTCATAGACATCAATGAACACAAGGGGATGATGGGTGTGCTTTTAAAAAAAGACAACAACATCTACTATTTCATAAAAGACATACAATAACTAGATTTATTAGGACTTGATAGAGTGGTTAACATTCTCTCCTGCAAGTTTAAGATTTGTAATTCTCTCAAGAAATTTCTTCTTATTTTTATGTCATATTGGGATTTATTTCAGATCCACAAATGTGAACGGAAGCATACAGTGCACACACTAAAAAGAAAAATTAATCACACTACAATTTATGTTGTTTAACCCAAATTACCTGCATCTATGATAGAGAAATTTTACTATATAAATAAAAATAAAAAATATACTTGGCATGGCATGGCAAAAAATACTCAAAATTCACGACACTATCCAATCTTATGGCTCACCTTGGTGATAGGGACGGATCTAGGATTTAAGCTTTGGATGGGCAAAAATACATGTAACTTTTCATCGAAAAAATTATTATAAAATTTTAAATTTTCATTTATACCAATCCAAAAAAATGAATAATATTACTATTAATCGGACATTCTTTGTTAACATAATTAAGAATAAAAATATAATTGGACATATTTCTTTTGTTACATTAACTTAACAAAATGTTGACTATTACTGTCTCTATCTACTAAAATTAACTATTTGAAAATGTTATAATCACCACTTTTTATAATATATAAAAAAACATTTATGATAAACTCGACACAAAAACTTTAATTAATATCTTTCTCAATAAATATGATCAAGTAACTTGTTACAAAATCATTTTCCATCTTATTACATGGTTTAGTTTTGAAAAAAATTATAATTGAAAATATACGTTTTTATGAGTATAATTAATGATAATCTGTTTCAATAAGAGATATTAAATTTTATGAACTTATTTTAAGAATGTCATGTATGTTGAAGTAGACAATATTTTTATGTCCAGACAATATTCCTATTTCTAGAGAATGAACAAATAAGAATGAATATAGAATAAGATGCATAAGCAAATTAAAATGTGATTTATAAAAGAAGGAGAAGAAAAAACATAAATAAAAAGTAAGAATAGTACCAAATAGAAACAAATAAAAAAATACAAGTAATTTTAACAATATAGAGATATAATAAATAATACAGATAACAAATAGAATAAATCAATATTTGATAAAACTCAATTTGAAAACTATTTTTAAAATTTTATAATATAAATAATTTGGAAGGTATGAACTATTGAAATTTTAGAGGTGGAAATTATTTTAGTTTGAAATTATTTTACTAATTACTAATATAATATATATAGTTCTACAAAAATTTGGGAGTGCGGGAGCACCCGCCCACACCAGCCTTAGATCCATCCTTACCTGACGAGCCATGGTATTTTTTCTCGCAAGCTCTGCATGTCAATTTTCCGTTGCTCTTTTAATCTTATCCAAAAATTCTAATCCTCTCGGGCAATTAATAATAATCCACTACCATAAAACTTACCCAAAGCAGGTTATTTCATTATCAAGAAATTTCAACCCTTGTTGTACATTTCATTTTCTCATTCAATTATTAAAATTATACACGTAATGAGGGCTCTACTATGATAATTCAA